ATTTGGTATCCGTTTCTTGTTTCAACATAGTAGCTGCTGGTGTTTTAAATTAAGGACTCTCATTAAAAACAAGAAATTGTTCTACAGAAAGACCCTGAACAGCACAAGAGAAGTGCATACCACCCAGTTTATTGTTTTTTGTAAGAGAAATGCTAAAGACCCTTCAATCAAATCATGCTGCTGCCTATTAAGGAAAATAACACAGATTGTATGAAGTTATTCAGTTCCGCAGGCTCACAAAAGTGGGCAATCATGGTCTATGGCCTCTTCCCGCTGAGTTAGTGATTGTGCCGTTTCAGAATATCTCTGTGTGATAATAAGTGACACCCGCGGCTCGTACGAAAGAAAATAACAGTAATAATGTTGTGTCACACCGAGAGAAGCAGAATCTGTAATGTCAACGTTTGTTTGTTTAGTAAACAAAAATTCAGTTTTCGATTTACACCCACTGACKAACAGGAATCTAGTGAATATTTATATATGATAATTTACATTGGATTTAATTGTGTGTTCTAGTTGTGTGTGTGCAATGCAACCTTGTATAAATTACTTTTCTGCAAACAGATCATTTAGAACAGCATCAATGATTAATTAGGAAATGATGATTAACAGAAGCTACAAATTATTTATTATTGAGCGCATCATGATGACAGTCTGTGTCAGTTAAAGTACTGTTTTTCTCTCTAATCARTGTAACATCAACTTGTGACAATGATTGGCTGTCAGATAAATTCACAAGCAGAACAATTATTTCAAAACCCTAAACAAACAAAGAAAATATATATCTGTAAATGCAACCTAAATAGAAGAAAAAACAACAACAATGCTTAAACTAAACTTAAACTGAATGCAATGTGACATCCAAGTTCATAAATGCTTGATTCATAAAAAAATTAAGTGTTTGGGTACATCTGAGTGAAGTCATTACATACCTGTGCACCTGAACTTCTTTTCTTTGACCTGGCTGATTCGTTTGTTGGCCAGCCTTCTAGGGTGGCTGCAGCGAGCCCCGCTGGTCTCTATCGGGTTGTCAAACAGATAGTCTGCCAGCCACTTCAGGTGACAGTCACACATAAAGGGGTTCTGAGCCAGATGGCTGTTAGAAAGGAAGGAGAAAGGACAAAACGATGGGAATGTTAAGAAAAAAGTGGAACACAAAGTCACAAAAGTTGTCTTAGCAACTCTTTCAGCCATAATAAAAAGCCACATATACAGTATATGATGATTATACTCTATGCTGATATATTAGGGGTTTAACAATGCATTGACGCACATCAATATATCGACTCAATGAGTTCAATGAGTTCATTTGCATGAAGGCAAAATTAAACATTAATCCATATCATCATCATAAGCCTGTTGTAGATCGGTATCATACGCTCATCTAACAGAGGATTGTGTTAAATGAGCATATGTTAATGCACCATATTGATTGTAAATTGAATCAAAATCATGACAAGACTGTAATATCGAGAATCATTGTATTGTCATCTAAACAAATCAATATAATATTGTATTGTGATAAAGCTGGTAAATTACAGCCCTAACATATTCTGATTCAACTTATTTTAGAATTATTTACTTAAAAAGCTGGTAAGTTATCCCTTAGAAAGAATAATTTATAATTTATTAATTAATTATAATTTATTGAATCTAWTGATCAAGCTGAGTAAAAAAATAAATAAAAAACAATAGTCATGCTGYATATTTTTTTAATCTAGATTATCATGTTTAGACAACAGTGTGCTGATACTAATGACTGTTTTTGTTTACTTTGTAAAACTTTGACCTAGAAATAAAAAATGCTACATTCGAAATTTCTCCWAGGACCAAAAGATGTCTGGAATCGTTTTTTTTTTTTCTCCAAACCAAACTAACCAACCATAATGAGGTTACCTCTTTATACAAAACTGGATTGATTCAGAATCTGAGACACGGGCATGTTTGACATTTTATGTCAAAGTCGAAACAATTCATCTATTAGCTTCTAGTTTCTTAACTGGGTTGCAAAAGCATCAGGAGGGCGAAAAAACATCCCAGTTCTCTTCCTCATCTCTTTCTTTGCAAACCTAACGACAGCTTATCAGGAACTCTCATGTTAGAGAACATCCAGTATAATACCAGCAGTGTTTTCTGCCTCACATCTCAACATGAATCTACCCTGAATATCTGAGGAAGCATCCAGGTGATTAGCTGTCGCCTCATTCACCAGTTGTGAGATTTTGTGTACTTACAGTGTCTTGATGGAGCGCAAAGGGCTGAAGAGTCCTTTACTGATGGTCTGCAGCTTGTTGTCATATAACGACAGCAGGTTGAGGTTCTGCAGGTCTTGAAAGGTGTTGACTCTCAAACAGTTAATTTTGTTGGCATTTAGCAATCTGAAACACACAGTTTGTTTTTAGTTTTTATTATTATTATATACTCAGCATATTGTTCTTTTTTAAATAAATTTAATTATCTTGAGCTTGACACAAAAATAGAAATACCCCTGGAGATTTTTATTTGTTTACTTAAAAAGAGCAAAACCATTCATTTTCTCCCACATCCTTCCTTTACATTTTGTCTTCCTCCACCCTCCCCAACTCTCCTCCCACATTTGTGATTATATCCTTTTTGGCCATGACACATACTGTAAAACTGAAAATAGCAGCTTTATTTATTTATTTTTTCAATTCTTCTCAGGCAGGAGGGAGAATATCTCTAGGTTTTATTTATTTATTTATTTTTATTTTTTGTGAGTGTAATATCTTGTTTTGACGGGACAGACAGATGGCAGAGGGACAGGAAGGGGGATGAAAAGAGAAGAATGGGCATGGAGATAAATAATGAAGTGAGGCATTGAAGGGGCAGGTGAAAATTTAATTTGGAGTGACAAAGGTGTACATTTAAGTGAAAGGGGGCTGACAAGTAAAATGGAGGGGGGATGGCAGTGGGAAACAGGAGACGTGATAAAGAGATKAAGGAAATGACAGGAAAAAAGTTTTCACCTCTACTCCTCTTTCTGTTTTTCTGCTCTTTCTGCTCCTTGTTAGCTAATGTAACTGACTTGTCAGCTTGTCCCTCTGCACAATGACTCTTTGCTTGCTCCTTGTCTGTGATATTTTCCACCGTTTTCCCCCTCATCTCTCACTCTCAGCCTTCTTTTGTCTTCGGCTGGATTCTCGGTTTTCATCCCTCTCTCACGCGTTCGACTGCCTCCACTAATCCTCTTCTCTGCGTTCGACAAGTGAGTAACTTGGTGCTTGGTGCGGCGGCTCGGCTTAATTATCTGGAGTCGTTCTAACGAGCACCTGCATCGGCGCAACCTGTTTATGTGTCCGCGCGCACAGGTGATGCACGCGCCCGCTCTGCGACATATCCGCGCCTCATTAGGCAGCTCACAGGGGGAACTAATTACTTGAAACTGCACCAGTAAAACAAAGCAGCACAGAAAACATCAACAGCAGACCAGCAGTGGTACAAAGCAATAAACACCTCCTCGCCTAGCAAAGTTTAATTTATAGTCACAACATTATATCGGAAAATACCAACATTCTTGTGGGGCTGATTGACTTTTTTGGAAGTAGGAGGTTTTCTCATATCAGCAGTAAAATATTAAACACCTTCCTTCCTGGTGYCGGCTGAACATGTGCCAACACCCTCAGGCATCATCATTTTACAATGAACAAAGTAAAAAAAAGGCATTTTAGAACTATGTTTACTCACTGAATGATTCAGTCACAAATGCACAAAAAATGTCCTAAATTATCCTATTATGGGACCATRCATGCATGCATTAATGAATATGAGGCATTCAGTGGTTTGGTGTTTAGCATTTTATTCCTGCAGCATCATTAGATCTGAGGCAAAATGCTTTTTCAATAGGGGCTGCTAATTAATGTCACATCACACACTCTGTGACATCAGCACTAATTTTCTCTTTTTCTGTTGCTCTTTTTTTTAGTTTGTCAGCCTTTGTGTTTCTGCGCATTTCTTTGCTTCCTTACTTCCACAGTAGGTCACTTTCAATCATCATTTATCTGTGCATTAATTTACCTATTCTTCCACTCCCCCACCCTTTCACACTTTCTGTATTTTACCATGCACCATGCATCCAAATGATCCTGTAAGCCTGTAAAAGGTGTTTGTGGGTTAAATTCACTCGTCCTCATTCTCTTTGCTTCGCTTCACTTTACGACGGAAAAGCCCAGAACATTAGCTGCTTCTGCAGCAGACTGCGGCATTCGCAAGGACCATATGCCACATCCACTACTTATGTGGCAGTTATAGAAATTTTTACAACGCTGAACCAGCGTTGCAGTTAGCCTTTACCCATGAGGAATTATTCGCAGAATTAATAGTTTTCCTGCTGGAAAACACCACGGTGGTGAAGAACAATGAGAGGTTGTGTTTTCTATTACAGCATTTGTTCCATGTTGAGCATTTTCGGAATCTMTTTTCCGTGGACAAGTGATAAAGACCAGATGGAGGGTTAAAGTATCAATAAGGGATTCTGCAGCAGTGCCTTTATTGTGGCAGTGTGCAAAAGTGGTGATCAGTGGGACTTTAGCWTTGCAAAGCCACACCTATTCTCCACAGGCATCGTAGACAATGGTCTCATTGAACCAAATTAACATTCTGATATAAGAGAAAAGACACACTGATTAGTTTTCTATTTCATTAAACAATCACRACTGTCTGGGGCAGCAACAAGACCATGATAGAGTACCAGCACTTGTAAAAGAGTCTTAAATGGGACCACAATTTGGTGGGAGTAAGCAAGCAATGGTGTTCGATGAAAATCTTAATTAAAGTTGATTTTCTTTCTGGCATGTATCCACAGYTTAAGGCTGTGGTTTTCTGTTATTGTTATTATTCTGCAAGGGTTTAGGGATAAACACAATGTTCACAACTCTTATAGAGATTTTATACAGAATGCCTTTTTTTTGGTGTGGGGTCATGTGACTGTCAGTTTTGTCTTGAAGCAGGAAAGCAATAGCTGTCAGTTGCAACGTTTCCATCCAATTTTAATGGAAAAATTAGAGCAAAATTTTTAAAA